GTTAACTCTGACGGTGCTGTCGTCAACAATAAGAAGAGAATCGTGGTCGAAGAGAACAATGGAGCTGCGGGGAAAGAGAATAACGAAAATGGAGCCGTGGGGAAAGAGAATAACGAAATGGTAATACGATATCTGCAGAGATACGGGTATTTAAACGAGAAGTTTGATAAGTTAGCTAACAGCGAGGACACATTCGTTCTTCAACACGCAATCAGCCTGTTTCAAGAGTATTACAAATTACCTGTTACCGGCATGATAAACAACGAAACTCTAAACCAGATGAGTAAAGCGCGATGCGGTCTACGTGATATAGCGAATTTTGAAGAGGAGGGGCACAAGAAAGATATGCGTAGGTGGCCGAAAAAACATCTAACGTGGAATTTTCACTTGGCCAACAAACCGGTCTTGGATACGACTCGTGCGGCGTTCGATGTTTGGCAAACGCATTCGACGCTAACATTTGAGCGTGACGTGGTAAGGCCAAATATTCTTCTATCGTGGCGCGCGGCTCATCACACTTTCGTCGAATCGCAAAACGGTGAAGTTTGCACGAACCCTTTCGACGGTCCTGGTGGCACACTGGCTCACGCTTTCTATCCTAATGGAGCGCCGGATTACACGTCGGAGATTCACGTCGACAAGACGGAACCGTGGTACATATATGTCGAGTTAGATACGTGTCCATCGGACAAAGCGTATTTGTTATACGTGTTGACCCACGAAATCGGTCATGCGCTAGGATTAGATCATAGTACCAATAATGCGTCGATAATGTATGCGTTCGCACCAGTAGACCCCCGTCCCGTTGTGCTCAGCAACGAAGACATTATAAATATACAGAATCTGTATGGCGCTACGGATACCGATGTGTCACCGAAAACGAATCCCATGCCGCCGTCTCATCCAACACCGCCGCCTCGTCCAACACCAAACGCTCCACCGGATCTATGTGCCTTGAAACGCGTTGACGCGATACTGTTGTTGGAAAGACGAATTTATATAGCATATGGAAAACATATATGGGCGATCGACATAGATGGAAAGACCTACAACGAACCTATGCTGCTGTCTAACTACATGCCATTCATTCATTCGAACTTCACGCGCATCTCCGCTGTGTATCAAACGCCATCGGATCATCTGATTCTATTCGTCGACGATAAAATTTACAAAGTCAATTACCCCGACTTCACGCTAGTGTCAACGTGGCCGAGAACGTTTCGCGAATTTGGAATTCCTATGAATGCGAAAATAAACGCTGCTGTAAATACAAACAAAGGAAAATCGTACGTGGTGTACGACGGATATCTCGTCGGTGAGGTAGACGACTGCTCCGACAGCATTAGCAAATATCACACCATCGAGTCCGTTTTTCCAGGCATACCGAATGGAGTGACGTCAATCTTCAGATACATCGACGGCAATCTGTATTTCACGACC